AGGGCCAGAGCTCAGGCTCCATGCCCTATTGCTCTTAGCTCTTGTTGATTTCCTCACGGGTTTATGGGTTGCTAGGGCAGACGATTTTAAGCATATAAATGCTGTCTCCTAGAATGAGGACAAAGCACAGCTGTACTTGCCAAATATGTGGTGATGCTTGGGTGAAAACAGTTTGGAAAATATTCCTTGTTGAGGGAAGACAGGAAAGCCCTTTATCTGATTTCTTCCCTGCCTCTGAACTCCCATGGCACACACCACCTCTAGCCTTCTTCTCAGCCCCCCTGTCGTTTCCTGCAGAAATTCTTTACTGCTTTAGGGCTGGCATCCTGTCCTGCTCTTCCTGGCTTTGGCCTCTCCGGCTGCTTATACAAGACAGAATTCATAAGTATGGTGTGTTGGGCTAATTTTATAAAACAAACCAGTTTTCAAATAGGAAGGCTTTCTGCTTTGTTGATTTTTGAGTTGTTTTGTTTCCATTTTAGAGCACTAGATTGCTCTAAGTCCTTCTTGAGGAAAATCAGAAGATCTCAGCTAGCTTTTAACAAGATCCAGAGCAGCCCTGTCTCTGGCCCACAGACTGTAATCCTAAGGTGACCAAGGAAGACATGTGAGCACAGGGCGCTTTGCTCCTTCACTGAGCACTCAGTTTACCCACGTGCAGCCCCGTGCTGCACCGGCTGCCTGGCCCTGTGAATCTCTCTGTGGGTACTGACCCAGTGGGCTGGTGTGAGGAGCAGAAGCTTCTACTTCCTGTCATGGTGCCCACAAATCTCCCCTCAAAACCAGTGATTCAGATCCTCAGTGTCTTTGTCAATAAAGCAAGGTGACAGTGTGTACTCCCTGACAGTGCTATGGGGAGCAAAGGAGGCCACATGGGGAGGTGCCTAGCACTGGGTAGAGACTTAGGAATTTATTCATTTTTTTTCTGTAATATAGGATCCATCAGCCTTGTAGTATGGATCTTTCCCAAGCTCCCTGCCCCTCTTCTCTCCCCCCTACCCACCAACTACATGCAGTAATGGTAAGCCAAGTGTTCTCTCTTTACTTTTAGAAAGATTTGCTGCAGGTTCCTGAGCTGGATCAAATCTGACATATATCATTCCCAAATATTTCATTCTAACCCTCAGTTATGTGAAGAGTGCTCAATTAGTCCATAAATCCTGGATTTTAAAGTCAGGTACTTTGAATCTCTCTCAGTGAAAAGATATAACTGATTTTACATGATTAACAGACTGATGAGTAAGTCTCAGGAAATGATCAGGGTAATGGTTGGTTTATAAAGTTGTTATTTACTAGAAATTAAATGGTATTAGGGAATTCTTGTTAATTCTATTAGGGTGATAATAGTAATGGGTTTGTATAGGGAATTGTGCTCAATTTGAGGAGATGCATGGTGAAATGTTTTTTAAAGTTTCAGGATGTCTGTGATTTACTTTCCAATACAGATATATATATAGACAAATAGATATTCTCTCTGTCTATCTCTCTCTCTCTCCCTCTCTCTGTCTCTCTCTCCCCCACCCCAAATGTGGCAAAATATGGCAACTATGTTAATACTTTTTGAAGTCTAAGTGGTGGAAATATGGACATTCATTGTAGTATTCTTTTAACTTTTCCGTATGTTGAAAAAATTTCATAATAAAAAGTTAGGTTAAAAGAAGGAACTGAAAAATTTAATCCATGAAGTTCCAAAAGCTGACATTTGATTATAAGTAATTTTTATCTATGTCATACTTTGTAACAGAGCTTTCTATTGAGAACACATATTTCTTTTGAGATCACAAAACAATAATGCTTATAATACCAAATTTTAAAATTGTAATTATAACTCAATATTTTTAAAGCATTCATTACAATATATTCCCCCCAAACTATTATTTGGAACCTGCATAATTTTGAGGGATTTTGAACATTTCAATGGAAGCAAGTAACTAATGATATTGGTTAATCTAGAGGACTACAATGGAATCCCTTTTGAAGTACCATCAGGGAACAATTTTTTAAAGAAATCATTTATATGCCTATATTTAAGGGAGAAAAGACTGTATGTAGATTTACCATGGGGATAATAAATCACGATATATATATTTGCCACATGAACGGGAAGCAGAGTGGGACCATGCAGAGAGCATGGAGCCTTGCACTGAACAATAGAGAGTTGGATTTTGAAGTTTACTTATTTATAAAATGATAAATGTCAGGAATGATAACACTTCCTGACAAGAAATGAAGCACTCAGGACAATAAACACTCCGTGCAAGAGTGGATATTGATGTTGTTGTTTTCATTTTACCTGATCTGAGAAAATATGAGTTGCAAATAAAAAATGGATTTGATATCATGATTGTAAAATTACCAGCTCTAGGAGACAGATTTGGTAAACCTCTGTCTTTGTAGATCTTTCCTTATCAAATATTATCTCTGAATGTTGAATGATTCTTTTAGAGATGTTTAAAGAAAAATTTTAGTCAAAATAAATTTAACAGAGTTGAGTTGAACAAAAAACAATTCATGAATGGGGTAGTACTCAAAACCAAAAGAAGTTCCAAGAGCTTCAAGCACTCCAGCAGCATGAGAGTAAGCTTTTATAGGCTGAATGTGATTGGCTACAGCTAGGCATTTGCCTCATTTGGGGTCTTGTGGAAGGTTTGTTGTTATATAACCAGTTAGTCGGTTGGCTGTCACTCACTTTTTGTTGTTGTTCTTTGTTTGTTTTAAGTCAGTTACAAGAAATGCCTTCAAGTTAAGTTTCAGTTTGCTCATGTAAGGGCTCTGAGTATAGAGTACAGAGACAATCTCATGTTAATGGCCTCCTTACTTACTTTAACAGAGATAAGTAATGGTCCCACCAAGTCTGGCTTTTACAAATGTTTTATTCACCAATTATTCTAATATTTGCCAGCTATCATCTAGCTCTGATATATAAGTGGGCTTTAAAATGGTTCCTTCCAGTTTTCAAGATTCGTTATTCAATGCTGATTACCCTCAACCATAGACAAACAAACCCTTGACTAGGATATACAGGTAAAGCAAGCCCCATGTTGGGTTTCGTCCACCAAGCTGTTGCAGCCTGGCTGCTCTTCAGTGGATTCCAGTCACTAATCCATGAGAGTGTTTCTTCTGGGTAAGAATTGTACAGTCATGAAAGTGATTTATTGCTAGTTGTTCATACAAAGAACTTTTAAGGAAAGATTTCAGCCTCATGTTCTGGTATTCCTTGGCCATTTTTAGTAGCATATCTCTTAATATGATCAAAGGGAAAGCTAACTAATTCCATTTAGCATGGTATAGCGGCAAACAACAGATTTTAATCAGAAAAACCTACTTTGTAACATTTTCCTATTTATGTGTCTTGTGAAAAACACAAAATAGCTATTGTTCTTAGTTTTCTCATTCATAAAACTACATGAGCCTCCTTTTTTGTATCAAATAAGAAAATATATGAAATTATCTTGTAGATTATGAATTATCTTCTTCATTGACTCACATGTCCAGGTTGTGATTCTTCTTTAGGGAACATAATAATATATTGTATTTTGGTTGAATCCAATGGCAAGCTTTTATTTTTCTCATATTTGGCTCCCTTTTCCTACTTTCTTGAATATCCCACAGTATGCAAATAATGAAATAATTCTCTGTGCTGCATATTAAGGAACATATACTTTTTTTTTCATTCTCAAACAAATTCAGTGAACTTATGATTCTTTTTACCTTATCGCCAAAACAAATGAGTATGTAAGCTACTTGAAGCTTTTACATACCATGTAAACATATCTTCATTAAGGAGGAGATGGTTAATGGGTACAAAGTTATAGTTAGAAGGAGTAAATTCAGGTGTTCTATTGAACAGTAGGGTGCCAATAATGTACTGCATATTTCAAAATAACTAGGAAAAACGATTTTCAATGTTTTCATCACAAAGAAATGATAAATGTTTGTGATGATAGATTTGGTAATTATCCTGATTTGATCATAACACAATGTATTCATGTATCAAAATATCACATTTCACCCCATAAATATGTACAGTTATTATGTATTAATTAAAAATAAAATAAAACTTTAACAATTGTATTCATCCCCAGTGCCCTAGTAAGAAAAGTACTCTTGTTTCTGACATAATGAAATCTTAAAGCCATAATACATAGGAGATGGTCTTTGCCCTTGAGGTTTTATCCTTCTGCACTGGTGAATCCTCAGTTGGAAGAACTCTGGTGAATTCCCAAGAGCCATCAGAAGGGACAGGTGACTTAGAAGGCTGTGGAGGACCCTCAAGTCCATGCTGAATCAGGCTTAAATATGGCTTCAGATACAACATGGTCCTTAGAGATCTCATCTCCATGATGAACCAGATGTCTACCATCCTGGAAATTTGGGCTTTAAAATTCCATGAGGCATTTTGTAGGAGTGGAGATGCCTCCTTGGCATCACCATCATCTCTGCATCCCATTAATTATAGCCTGACTTTCAGGATCTCAAATGAATGTCTGTAGCATCTCTTGATCTTTGAGAGCCACCTAACCTACAATGGTATAGAATTACCAACATTCTTGGCTGGGCACAGTGGCTTGTGCCTGTAATCCCAGTGCTTTGGGAGGCTGAGGCAGGAGGATCACTTGAGATCAGGAGTTCCAGAACAGTCTGGGCAGCATAGCAGGACCCCATCTCTACAAAAAAATTTAAAAATTAAACAGGTGTGGTGGCATGTCTGTAGTACCAGGTACTCAGGAGGCTGAGGCGGGAGGTTCGCTTGAGCCCAGGAGTTCAAGGCTGCAGTGAGCAATGATCACACCAGTGTACTCTAGCCTCATTGACAAGAGAGCAAGACCCTATCTCTAAGAAAACAAAAACAAAATTACAAACATTCTCAGGAAGAAGCTTAAAGTGGTCTCAGTTTTTAAAATCTATGCATTTAGCTTTTGGGATTTAAAGTCACTATTATCTTGTATCATCTTGCTTTATTAAGAATTTTTTCTTTTTTTTTTTTTACATTTTTATAGCACGTCAGTGAAAAAACCAGTGAATCGCCTTCCAAACCAGTAGAAAAGAAAGGATCAGATGAGGTAATTTCATTTCATTTCATTTTCTTTTCCTTTTAAACTATAAATTCTGCCTTGAAATGTTAAATAATGGTGTAGGAAAAAGTTTCTACTGGAATATTGATAAATTTAGTTTTAACTGAGATTTGATTCAAAAATATAAGTGGAAATCATTGAAAATACATAAAAACTCAAATGTTCCTGGGAAAAGAATCTTTATAAGTAGTTTCCATTTAGAAATAGAATTCAGCTATATAGAGTGTTTTCCCTATAGGAATTGGTGAATCTTAATTGTTTTGTTGGTGAGCATGGCAAGCAAAATGCTGTAGTAGAAAGGAAAATCTTTCTTCATGAGAATGCACCAAGAAAGGAGGACAGTGGCAGCCTAGATTAACCAGTCTTTCAGGTTTGTAAACAAAAGGAAGAGAGAACTATTTTCATTTTCATTGATTCTCTGGAAATACTAGTAAAACCAAATCTCCCCACTTTGAGATGGGTTTTCTTTGAGCCTGTGAATTTCTCCTTTCACTGCATGACACACCATCACCTGTGCTGTGAACATTGACCTACTTCTCTATAGAAGGGTCATGTGAAAGTTCTGTCATTCAAAAGGGTACTGGATTTCCCTCCCTTTAACTGCTTTTTCTGTGTTAAATCTCAATAGAAAATATTCATCTTCATTCAGTAGAAACTGTGTCATTTCCAAGTTATAAAATCTATATAGGCAGGTCCTGAAAGTTATATGAAAACTTAGAAAGCATAAAGTGATCATTTTATTTTTCTCTACATTATCAACATTAAACAGGTGTTTTTAGAAATTTAGTTCCTCTTCCTGCTTATTTTTCTGTAGTTTCAAAATATTCAATATGTAAGGAGGCTGCTACATCACAGCCTGTTATACATTCTGCAATGAGATTTACTCCTCAGTTATCTACCATTGTTCCTATTACCAATACCCATGAAAATATAATTTAGATTATTTCTTACCAAGAAAATGTATAGTCAGTTTTTTATAGCCATAAATGGAAAATGTTTCTTTAAAAACAGAAAATAAAAGTAAACTTACATTAAAATTTCATCCTGTTTCTTGGTTTAACTATTAAAAAACAAATTTTCATTTGAAAAACCAAAATTTTACATTTTTACTAGGATAAAAATTTATGTTTGTTTATACCAATCATTATGAATTTGTCAAGTGCATCTCAGATGTAGAGGAATTATAAGACCAAAAGTTACATGGACTAACGAGCCAAAGATAAAATGACTAGAGAGCAGGAAAAAGAAAAACGGAAACATTCAACATCAGCATCTTTAAATACAGTGGAATAAATAAGTCTTTCCAAACCTGCAATCAAATCTATTTAAAGTATTTGACTGACACATCTGGCCACACTAGAGGAGTGTGAGCCTTTTAGCAACACATTTCAGTGAAGTCCTGGGAATTGGAATTTAAAGCATAAAATAGGCCTGATCTCAAAGAGCCAATTTTAAAAGCTTCAAATTTAACAATGGATATATTTTTATGAGTAAAGAAAGGGAGATACACATAGAAGAGATAAAAATTGGGCCTTAAAGGAAAAAATATTTGGCACATTTTTCTTAGCTCAACAGCATTGGTAGCATTCTTTCCCTTGGTATTTAAATTTCCTCTTCTAAAATACATGAATTAAATAAGTATTGAATGACTCAAATTTTTTTTTATTTTTCTTTTTTGTTTTAATAAAATTAGCCTTTTTTAAATCACAAAAGTGATACATACTTGTGAAAAACAAACAATATTACCCTGAGTCTTACCATTTAGTTGTAACTACTGTTACAAAATTATATGTGTATTCTTAATATGATAACATGATGTATTCATAATTATATATGCTGATTTTAGTATTTTTAGTGATTATACAGCTGAAATATAATCATTGGATAACATTATGTATTCATAATTATATATGCTGATTTTAGTCCTTTTAGTGATTATACAGCTAAAATATAATCATTGAAGAAAATTTAGGAAGTGCCAAAGAATTTAAAGAAAATAAATATCATCATCTAGAAATCTAGCACCTAGAGAGAGGTGGGCACTATTAACATCTTGGTGGTTTTTCCTTTGTCTATTTTCTATATATATATGTTTAGTGAAATAATTGAATATCCCAATGTTTAAGCGAAGATAACAAAGGAACATTAGTAACATTTTAGCCTCTACTTAAAATGATAAAAAAAAGTGCTTTATGATAAATAAATATTTTCCAATTTAAAAAAGGCCCATCAGTGTTTGTGGTTTTTAAGTGCATAGAACATCATTTTTCAAGTACCTTGGCATTTGATGTGGCATTTAATCTATTCATTATTTTGTGCTCTAATTTTGAGGGTAGGGGGGACTAGATGGTCACATTTCTGTATGGAGTTTGACCATTCAGGAAAGAGAGGGGTCCTTCAGGAGCGTTGGCTTACTGTGTTTCAGATGCATGACACAAGTGGTTCACCAATTGTGCTTTTCAATACGGTTCCACCAGCTTTGATTATAATGGAGATTCTGCCTAGATATTGGCATTTAATTGGCTTTCTTTAATGTTTAGTAAAGTTATATCCTCTTCTATGAGAAGATGAGAGAATAGAAACTGCTAAAGAGAATATTTATATTAGGAATTCTTGAAATTAACTCATAATGACCATGTTTAGCTTCTTGAATTAAGTCTCTTCTAGTTTGCTTGGGGTACAACCTATGAAATGGCTTTTCATTTTATACTCTATTCTATGTGTCATTTGGGTGTAAATCCTCATGCATTTTAACAGAGGTTCTTGAGGTTTAAGAGTTTGGAGATCATCATCATGGAGCATTCCATGTCTCCTCTTTTCTGGGATTTTTCTGTGATTCCTGGTATATTTGTCTTCTTCTATGTGTAGGTCATGATGAAATAATTAAGGTCACTGCTTGCCTTTCTATAAGTGAAAGTGGTTTACATAGGTATTAGAATTCCTTATGGGGAGCCTATCAGATAGATATTCATGAGAGGCGCATGAAGTTAAGTTCAAAACCCACAATTATTATAAAACACCAGGCATTATGTAGACATTATAACAGTTGATCCATCCTAAGACACAAATTTGGGTTGAATTCTGAGAGAAATTTAGAAAGTTTACAAAATTCAGGACAAACATTTTGTGCCACTCTGAGCCCACAGTTAAAGCATCTTCTTTCTCATCTTCTGTGAAAGCTTTGAAGAGCCACATTCATAAGCCAGTTAACCTGCTATGGAGGCAGCATATTATACTTGCTGAGTTCAGGCTTCAGAGTCTGACTGCCTGGATTTGAATGCCAGCGTTGCCATATCCTAGCTGTGTGTCCTTAGCAAGTTTGCCTTACTAGGGGCACTTTTCTCATCTGCAAAATGGAGGTAACAATAACTCCTACATAAGAGTTAATGTGCAGTGCAATGAGACTATCTATATGAAGTATCTATAATAGTGTCTGGGACGTAAGAAGTGTCTGTAAGTATTAGCTGCTGTTATTGTTGTTAGTATTACTGATGTTATTTTATTATTGTCACTATTATTATTAGGCTAACAAAGAGAGCCTGATTGACAGAAAAGGTGAGACCCTTACTGATTTCTAACCATGGAATGGGACAGGACTTAAATATTTGACTGTTATATATTGCAAAGCCTTTTCCATTAAAAAAAAGGAAATTTTGTAGTTCATTAAGCTTAGATCTTTCTTTTAAAACAAACTTCATGTAATAGCCAGAAACATATGCCAATAGCTAGAAAATAGAGATTTTGTGCATCACCATTCAATGAGCTGTTTTATCAGAAGCTAAAGATGTACCTTTAAAAAATATGAAAATAATATGCCTTTAAATTAAGAATCTGTATCTGGGTTCTCACTTCTGTTCCATTGGTCTATGTCTCTGTTCTTGTGCCAGTACCATGCTATTTTACTTGCTATAGCCTTTTAGTATAGCTTGGAGTCTGGTAAATTAATGCCTCCCCCCCCCAATTTGTTCTTTTTGCTTAAGATTGCTTTTGTTATACGGGGTCTTCTCTGGTTCCATACGAAGCACAGAATTATTTTTTCTAGATCTGAAAAAAATGATGTTGGTATTTTAATAGAGATTGCTTTGAATCTGTAGATCACTATGGGTAGTATAGACACTTTAACAATGTTGATTCTCCTGGTCCATGAGCATGGCATGGTTTTCCACCTGTTTACATCCTCTACTATGTCCTTCCTCAGTGTTTCATAGTTCTCTCTGAAGAGGTCTTTTACCCCTTTAGTTAAATATATTCCTAGGTACTTTTTTTTTCTTTATTGCTATTGTGAAGGGTATTGAGTCTTTGATTTGGTTCTCAGTTTGACTGTTGTTAGCATGGTTCTCAGTTTGACTGTTGTTAGCATATAGGAATGCTACTGATTTTTGTACATTGATTTTGTAACCTGAGACTTTGCTGAATTTGTTTATCAATTCCAGTAGTCTCATGGCAGAATCTTTGGGGTTTTCTAGATATAAGATTATATTGTCAGCAAAGAGTGATAGTTTAATCTCTTCTGTCCCTATTTGGATGCCCTTGATTTCCTTCTCTTGTCTGATTGCTCTGGCTAGGACTTCCAGCACCATGTTGAATAGAAGTGGCATTAGAGGGCAAGCTTGTCTCATTCTAGTTCTAAGCGGGAATGCTTTCAATTTTTCCCCATTCAGTATGATGTTGACTGTGGGTTGATCATATATGGTTTTTATTATTTTGAGGCAAGTCCCGTCTATGCCTATTCTGTTTCTGTTAAGCATTCTTCTCACAAAAGGGTGTTGAATTTTGTCCAGTGCTTTTTCTGTGTCTATCAAGAGGATCATATGGTCTTTATTTTTAGTTCTATTTATGTGATAAATTACATTTATACATTTGCATATGTTGAAATATCCCTGCATCTCTGGGATGAAGCAAACTTGGTTGTGGTGGATTATATTTTGATAAGCACCTGAATTCAGTTTGCTAGGATTTTGTTGAGATATTTTGCATCTATATTTATA